ATATATATACATATTATTAAAAATTTACAATAGAAATTAAATTAAAAAACAAATAAAAAAATACTACAAAAATATTTTAATAATAATAATAATAGAAATAAATATAAATAAAATTCATCAAATATGTATCAAGTAATGGCAAAATTTTTTATTTTTATTATAAAATACGATATTAATAACATTAAATTACAGTAAAACCTGTATAAGCCGGAATCGCACGGTACACGTCTGGCAGGTTTCCGTTTTGGACAGGTTTTACTGTATTTATTTTCGTTATATAAATTGTCTTTATCAAGTATTTTCTGTTAAATATAAGATAATAAGATAGTTTTTCTTTTTAAAATTCAGAGTATACAGTAGAACCTGTGTAAACCGGAATCGCACCGAATATTTTTTAATTAGTTTAGCGGGTTTCCGTTTTAAACGGGTTTTTTCAAACGGTAGAAATTCTTCGAAACGGAGCGAATTTTTTGTATAAAAAGAAAACCGTAAACCTGCCAAACCGATTAAAAAAAAGTTCGGTACCTTGAAATTCCGGTTTACACAGGTTTTACTTTAATTATTTAATATTTTTTCAGATAGACAAAGGTGTAATTTGTGGAATTTTTTACACGATTTAAGGTGGTAAATGTCCCATTTCCCTCCCCTCTCATGTCTTTAAATATCTTTTATTACAATATAATACTGTATATATACAGTAAAACCTGTGTAAACCGGACTCGCGTAGTTTTTTCCTGTTTGGCGGATTATTTTTAACGCCGAAAATCGTTGCATTCCGAAGAATTTTTCCCATTTATGCAGGTTTCCGTTTTGGACAGGTTTCAATTTTATTGAATAAAGTTATAGAATTAATATTCTTTAAATAATAATTCTCTTTTGTACTTTTTAAAAAGGGGGGAAAAAATAAGAAATAAAAATGTGTGTTATAAGCAGTNATAAATATATATATATATATATATATTATTAATTAAATTTTTATTTATTTTTTAAATTCATAAATGTTTTTGTATGATTGATTTATATATTTATGTATACGTAAGTGTACAGTAAAACCTGTTTAAGACGGAATCTTAATAAAACGGAAACATACTTCTAAAAGTGAAAAACTCTTCGGAATGCAGCGATTTTTGCTGTTTAAAAACCTGTTTAAAACGGAAATCTTTAACCGTACCGAAAAATATATATATATATATATTCGATATCGTGAGAGTCCGGTTTACACAGGTTTTACTGTAGTTATATACTCGATAAAGTATCGCAGAAAGCAAATTTACTTAGAAGTTTTAAAGTGTGGGGAAAGGCCTCAACCTGAGGCCCTAAAACTGAGTTCTGCCTTGTTTTACTAATTATTCAATATTAAATCCTAGATTATTGATACAGAATACAGGAAAATTAAAATTTAAAAAATGTGTAGGAAAAAAAAAAACAAATAAATAAATTAAACCGTTGTGATGAAATATATATCCTGTATTACTGGAAAACCATTGTGGGAAAGGATGTATAGGGTTTACCACAGATTTTACATCATACTGTAAACATGTATATTTATAGAGATGACCAAAAATCGGTTAACTGCTTAAATACAGTTAACATAACACAAACGTTGAAAACAATGGCGATAAAACAAAAGAAAAGATAAACACTTTATTCAGAAAAAAGATAGTTAACTAACTTTTGGACCACCCTATACTTGTATACATACAGTAAAACCTGCGTAAACCGGACGCTACCTTATAAATTTTATAAAATAATTTAAAACGCTGTATAGAATGGAAAGAAAAGAAAGAAAAAAAAACAAAATGGCGAAGTTGTAAATTTCACTGTTGTCTGTATTGAATTATTATTTATAATTCAAAAACAGCGTGTTTGAAAGGAGAAAAAATTGGCACGGTAATTTTTCATAGTTAAAAAAACAAGGAAATAAAATAAAAATTAGAATATAAAAAACCGAATAAACTAGCAAAATGTTCACATTAAATTACTTTCCCCTCCATTTTTTTTCTTCTTCTTACCTTGGATTAAATGATAAAAATATTTACAATGAAACTTTAAATTATTTATTTTAGAAATTATTTATAAGTTTTGGTTTTAAAAACTAAAACTTATACGAATTTTCCTATAAAAACTAACCTATAAAAATAAAAAGATATGTCTTGTTTTTTCTGTTTACAAGTTGAATGAAGATGTTATGTATACTTCATCCAATTAATCTTCGAGTGAAAGACCTTTATTGACGATTAATTGGATGTTTTGTACAGTACATTACGTAGTACAAAAACATAATGAAAATAACTCTGTACAATGACAAAATACTCATTTAAATTCAAGGGATTTTATAGAAGAAAATCGAGACCAGATATGGATTATTTGTTCTCCATTTTCTTCTATATAATCCCTTGAAATTGATAAAGGATTTGAAAAATTGCAGGCCAATAAGTAAATAAATAATTTCTAATTAAATGTGAATTTTGTATATGAAGTACAGTATTAAAAAAAAAAAAAAACAAATTTTACGATATGTAACAATGTGGGAAGAAATTTTTCTTACCGGTTCTTGGTAAATTATGTTGATATGAGGAGGCGTTCATATCTAGATTACAAATAGATATCCTTGAGATCGCCTACGTTTAATTACTGCATGCCATTTGCAATTATTTTCTAAAAAATAAGGAATACAAGTATATATATAATGCATTTGCATTACAATACAATAAAACACAGCTGTATTGTATTGTATTGTAATGTGTCGTTTAATAATCCAACATTGTTAAAGAAGATATTTTAATCTTATATGCCAGCATTGCACGCGATTTTGAAGGGGTGGGCATATTAGCCTAATGGGGTTGAGAGAGGATGGTTAAAAACAATTGGCCTTACTCGTTAGTAACTAAAATTTATAGTTACTTACGATAATGAAACTGCAAAATACAAGAAATTGCTCGTGGTTAAGTTAAGAAGGATGTGATTAGGGGATTTACACAGTATTTTTCTAGGGTGTCGAAGAATATTCGTGCCCAATTCGGTGCTAGAATTCTTTAACAAACGTGGGCATTAGGGAT